GGTGTCTTTTTTTTTTTTTTTTTTTAAGATTTATTTATTTATATAAGAACTGGAGTACAGGCCAGAGACACGGAAGGGTGAGAGGATTCACCAGAGAAAGAGCAGGGAACAGAACAGGCAGATGGAATGAAAGCACTGCTGAGGGGAGCAGCGGGCAAGACAGGAGAGAGGTCTGCCACGCCATGTGGGTTTCTCCCTAGCAGGCCGGGAATCGAATCTGCCCTGCAGAGGCTGTGGACAGCCTCACAGCACTGTGCTCAACATGCTGCACCACCAGGGAGGCCCTATGCAGGTGTCTTTTTTAACAAACCTTTCCCTTTCAGAGGCAGTTCTTCCCACTTGTGTTTGCACAAGTGTCCATTTCTTTCCTTTCCTTTTTTTAATAATGAACCTGCCCTTTTGGATATTAAAAAAGGAAAGGGAAGGGAAAGGTTGTGTTTCCATGGCCTTCTCTGTAATTACCACAGTGCTGTGTATGCAATTGGTACCCAAAAGTCTTACTCAAAGTACTTTGGGTTATAACTATCAGAAGTTTTTTTTTTTTTTTAAGATATTTTTTTTTTATTTAATTTATTTATACAAGCACTGGGTACAGTCAGAAGCGCGGGAGGGTGAGAGAATTCACCAGAGCCAGAGCGGGGAGCAGAGCAGGCAGAAGGACCGAAGTACACTGCTGAGGGGAGCAGCGGGCGGCAGGAGGGGTCTGCGCGCCATGTGGGACCCTCCTCCGGTGGCCGGGAAGCAGCCGGGGATCGAACCGGCGCTGCAGAGGCTGCGGGCAGCTTCGCAACCCAGCGCTCAACTGCTGCGCCACCAGGGAGGACCAGAAGCTTTTTTAAAAAAAAACATTAATTTATTCATGCATACAAGAGCAGTGGTGTAGGCCAGAGGTGAAGGGTAGTGGTGAAAGGATTCACCAGAGAGAGTGGGGAGCAGAACAGGCAGACTGACTGAAATACACTGCTGAGGGGAGCAGCGGGCGAGACAGAAGAGGTCTGCCGAACCATGTGGGTTCCTTCCTGGCTGGCCAGAGATCAAACTCATGCTGTAGTGGCTGGCGATAGCTTGATAGTGCTGTTTTTAACCCCTGCACCACCAGGGAGGCCCATATCAGAAGCTTTTAACAGAGACTTACAAATGCACTGGTTTCCAAAACTTAGCAGTGCATTCACATCTATACCATTTAAAAGCTGTAGATTCCTGAGACCCACTTTGGATTTCTGAATCACTCTTTGTGGATGGAACTCAGCAACTTCGTCTTTCAGGAGCTCCCTAGGTGATATGACTAGTCTGCAATCCTGCATTTGAGAACCGCTGCCCTTAGGTTCCATCCCCCCCCCACCACCACCACCACCATCATTCCAAATTCCCAGGAGACAGACTCTAGGTGGCCCACATGGGATTCTGTAAGCCATGGCCAGGGAACAGGCGGACAACATAAGAAAGTGGCCATGTAGGGCCTTGCTAGCTCTGACTAGGGTTTTGTTCCCATTAGGGGAAAAGGCCCTCTAATCAGTATGGCAATTGCAAAGGAGATGAGCAGAGCCCAGATGGTCTTCCTCATTTAGCAAATGCCTGTTGTTGGGTAAATATCATCTTGCTAATTTGTATTGCCTTCTTTCAAAGTGTACCACTGAGGGCAAAATTGATGCATAAAGAATTCTGATTTGTTGGGGGTGTTCTATAAAATCACACGGTATCAAGCTAATTCATCCAGTTTATTTTTTTAAGATTTATTTATTTATGCATACAAGATCTGGGGTACAGGCCAGAGGTGCAGGAGGATGAGAGGATTCACCAGAGACACAGTGGGGAGCAGAACAGGCAGGTCTACTGAAATACACTGCTGAGGGGAGCAGCGGGCAAGACAGCACAGGTCTGCTGTGCCTTGCTGGCCACCTCTCCTGCGGGGGATTAAACTCATGCTGCAGTGGCTGGTGACAGCTTGATAGTGCTGAGACTTTAACCCCTGCATCACCAAGGAGGTCCTGATTCATCAGGTTTAAAAAATTAAAATTGTACATTGATATCAGCAGAGTTCTTAGAGCCAAGTTCTCAATAAAATATCCTTAAATAATGTTGCTGTATTTCAAAGCAAGTTTTTTCCAAGAATTCAGTAAAAACAATACAGCGATACCTTTTGGTTCTGGAAAAGACTATCAGGTGGCGCGAAGGGTTCAGTCTCAGCATTATGAAGCTATCTGCAACTGCTGCAGCAGAATTCAATCCTGGGTCAGGGAGGTGACCCACATGGCGCAGCAGACTTCTCTTCTCTTGCCCGCTTCTCCTCTCAGCTGTGTATTTCCGTCAGTCTGCCTGTTCTGTTCCCCGCTCTGTCTCAGGAGAATCCTCTCACCTCTCCACATCTCTGGCTTACACCCCCGTTCTTGCATGCATAAATAAATAAATCTTTTTTTTAAAAAAAGATTGTCAAGTGGGGACAACCTAAGTTTGGGGAGAATTGGAGAAAGTTGATTGCTCTGGGGAGAGGGATTGAACTGGGAGAAGGCACAAGCCCCTTTGGCTTAGGCTGAAATTCTTTTTATTTAACCGCTGTTTACTATGTGCTCACTATGGTGCAGGCCTGGTGTTGGGTAAGGCAATGAACCGACAGACCAAAGTCCTGCCCTCGAGAGAGGAAGACTGGGAGCACCCAATGCACTGGAGACAGACAGGACCTTAGGGCAGCAAAGCTTTCCTGACGTACAGATGGGTGGACAGAGCTTCCGGTGCAGGGGCCAGAACTCATCCCCCGGCAGCATCTGATTCTTCTGCCATTCGGCCCTTCCCGCCCAACTTCCCACCTCGTAGTATAACAATTGGAGGGATTGTTCTAGTCCCAAAGAGAGGGAGACAGGGAGGGGCACAGGCAGTAGTTATAAGATGAAATGTGCTAATGCCAACCTCACCCCTATGCAGGCAGCCTGGAGGCTGTTGCCGTAAAAGGTGTTGCCCCTGGAGCATGTAGGAAGGGCCTGCCCTACAACTGGCAACATTGGTTCTAGAGATTCAGTACTTTCTTTATAAAATACCTTCGAATAATGGCAACTTTTTCAAGCTTTGACATTAAATTAGATTTTTCTGGTTTTTTTTTATACTCCTGTATTGTAAAATAAAACACGTTTAGGAAAAAAAAGGCGTAAAACATAAATATAAAGTTAACCATTATAAAGCAGTATCCACGAAATCCCCACTTGGCTCAAGAAATGGCATATTGCCAGAGCCCCCAGAAACCACCCACACCATGTGCCTTCCCACCCTCCACCCCCTTCCAGACTTTTCTATTGATTTCTTCCCTTGCTTTTTTTTTTTATGATTCTACTATTTATATATATACCAGTTTTGCTTTATTGGTCTATTTAATAGCCAGGGGTCATTCCAGGTCATTTCTGATAAAGAGAATGGGAAATCAACATGGGTAATGCCACTTTTATCCCCAAAAAAGGTATTTCTCATAACCAATAAGCATGGTGACCTTTTGTTCCATCGTGTGAACTAAGCTTATTGAAAGAAACTCCAGATATGTTGTGTACAGGCAATACTGTTCTAGGGACTTTAGTCCTTGGAACATAGTGTTCTGGATCATCTCTTCATCTGTAGATCTCATTATTTCAGGACCCAATCTATAGAGCCTTGTCCAAGGTCTTAAGCCACATTTCTCCAACTTTTATCTCTTCTATTTTTTCTTCCAAGGCAGGCCCCAGTATTTGTTCATCCTCTGGAATTAGAGGTGAGAAAGGCCTGTGCCCTCTGTTTGCCCTGGCCTCTCCACAGTGTCTTCTGAGTGAAGAGCCTCCCTATAGTGGGATGTGGAGTCACATTCTTGGGAGAATGCTGTGAAAATGGGAAGAAACCCCTCATGGCTTTCTTCCTAAGAATGTTTTGCCTGTCTGGCTAGACGGTCTGACCATCCTCGCTAATGGGAGCTTTGTGTTGACTACCTCCAGACTTTCTTGGGTGATGTCACATTCCTCTCCATTTTTAGTATTAGCAAAGAGAACCAAATAGACAATAGTACTTGTTCAGAATAGTTCATTGTTTAGAACAGAAATGTTAACATGTGCTTAGTTGGGCACTGGACAGACATCACCAAGGCCTCTGTGAAAGCCCACATGTGAATGGTTGGTGGGAACATTTTGCTTACACCGAGATCATAAATATAGTCACCTATATTTATGGTGGGAACAGATAAAACGCTAAACCTAAGGGTGGTGTACAAGAAATATGACTAAAGAGAAAACTGAAAATTTACTGTACTACAAAGTAGTAATGACATAGAGGATTAAAATTTAAGAATAATTTGTAAACCTGTCATTATTTTACTGAAAAGGTATTAACAGATTTTTTTAGATCTAAAAGGAACTTATCAGTCCTTAAACATCATCTGTTCATCTTCCTCATTTGTAGAAAAGCACATAAAAGTTTAAACATCAGATTGATTTTTCTAATAATATTTTGTTCAAGCCAATATTCAGTTGAGTTTACATTTCCCAATGACATGCCACCTGGTGTTGATAGGATGTGAATTAGTGACATCCCAGATGGCAGGGGTGGAATGCGCTTTAGACCACTGCGCAGTGACAGTGAGTATTGACAGTCAATTTGGGATTGGTGCTCGGCACCTGACCAGTAGCTTAGAACCTTGGAGACGCCACATAGCCAGTGAAAGTCAAGATAAGAATCCTAGCACGCCTGATATAAAATTACCAGTGTTAGAAATTGGGTTCCTGGCTCTGCTAACCCAGTGGTTCCAGGAACAAGACAGCAGTTGGTATCAACTCAGCATCTCTCCTGAATGGCAGCAAGAAACTTCAGTGGGCCTGTAAATACTACAGTGCATGCTTTATACTTCTCCCGAAATGATAGGGCAATAATGTTTTAAAACTTTTCTTCTGAAATCTAACTTGAAGGTAAAGCCAGGCTTAGTTGACGTGATACATAAACTATTCTAACTTTAAGTCGTGAAACTAATTTTTCCATCTTGGTAATATTTTTCACAGGCTCAGAAAAAAAATTTGAATCAGACTTCCCCCGTTTCTGCTCCCAAGACCACAGATGGCCTGAGGCAAGCACAGATCCCTGGCCTCTTGAGTACCACGCTGCCAGGTCAGAAGCCTTTGTAGTGAACGCTCCTCAGTCCATCCCGGTCCTCACCACACCCAGGAGGCTTTTCTCACACCCCTCCTTCTGCATGCAGTCCTGCCTCTACCTCTCCCCCAGTCCGGTCATTCCTTCATGCTGTGTTCTTTCCACCTTGCACCTGTACCAGCATTGTATCCCTAGGAAATAAAACACACTTCTATTTAAATTATGACGTTAAGTTACATGCAGGAATGTGCTGCTTAGAAACAGCTAGCATTATATAGCCCAGGTGATTATGTAAAGATGCCCATTTTACATTTATATTTATTATATATTTAGAACCCCCCAAAGTAAAAATATTGTGGGCTATGTCTTCCCTTTCTTCTAAAGCTTTGAACACCTGCCCTGATCAATAAGTACTAGAAAAGACAAAGACATCCTTAATCAGTCTCCTTCTTGGGTATCTCTTTAAGTTATGACCATTTTGAGATTCAGTCATACTCACACATTACTGACTTAAGGCCTATTCCTTATTACCTTAGATAATTACCTTTGATAATTTGAAACTATAACATTGATAGTTTTTATTTATTATCACTTATTTTTGCATTTATTATCCCTATTTGTTCCTAAATAGGCTGTAATAATCCTAACTTCTGCCTCTAAAGCTTTGGTAGAAAAATATACTTATTGTATAGAAAAATATACTTATTGTATATTTTTCTAAACATTACTAAACATCCTTTTGGAATGTTTAGTAATTTGTCTCCGCTGGTCTCTTATACCAGGGACCTGATTTTCTGCTTCTGCTGAACATTGTCTTATGCCTTAATTCTAATAGGGCAAGATTCCGGAAGCAAAGTTCTACCGGCATCCTTAGGAACCTCACAGCCACAGCAAGAAAAAGTAGTTGGATCATCTCCTGGCCGGCCGACTGTGCAGGTAGAAGACAGCTTCTGCCTCCAAAGCTTTGATAGTTAGCTCATAACGCATGGCGTCATGGCGTCTTCTGCTTGGTAGTTGCCATCCAGCGTCCTCTGCGCACACAGCCTGTCACCCCGTGTGCCCACGAGGACTGGTCCCGAGGGCTAGGCTTGCGCTGTAATGTTTTTAGGATGACTGCGTCTATCCTGTTTCTCACAGTATAACACTACCATTTCTTCATGATAATATACCAGCAGCCAGTACATCATAGGCATTCAAAAAATGCAATTGTCGAATGATAGTGCTCATTATCATTCAAAAGTGGACCTCTTCCTTTGAGTTGTGCTGAGATTCTTTTTTCTGCAGCAGGAATGAGTAATATAAATGGTCAGTTCCTATGGTCTTTTATTTTTTTAAAAAGATTTATTTATGTATACAAGAACCGGGGTACATGTCAGTGGTGTGGGGGGTGAGAAGATTCACCAGAGACAGAGTGGGGAACAGAACAGGTGGATTGACTGAAATACACTGCTGAGGGGAGCAGCGGGTGAGACAGGAAGGTCTGCTGCGCCATGTGGGTCACCTCCCTGGCCAGGGATTGAACTCATGCTGCAGTGGCTGCGGATAGCTTCCTAGTGCTGTGTCTTAACCCCTTGCGCCACCAGGGAGGCACTTCCTATGGTCTTTTAACTCAAACAGCTAATCTAAAAAAGGAAGGAAAAAATTTTGTTTACAGCTTACAAAGGCCTTAGTTTCTTCTCATCAAACTTGCCAATTAATAGTTTAATGAAACTTACAATAGTCTGGGCCTGCCTGGAATACTCAGTGAGGGAGGGAGATGTTCAGGTTTCAGATTCTGACATCCAGTGTATTTGTTTCCTTAATATAATAAGAGAAGAGTCCTACTCCAGGTCCCATCCCAGGACTGTATATAATAGGCACTTAAAAATGTTCCCTCCCTTATTTACCACTGACAAGATGAATTGAGTGGTATCTGCTGAATTTTCAGATGTTCGAGTTGGTACCCACAGTTGTATTTATTCAAATATATAATGATGCATTTGTTTATAACTCTGTGTGGTGATGGATGTTAGCTAAACTAATTGTGGCAATCATTTTGCAATATATATACATATCAAATTATCATTTTGTACACCTAAGACTAATACAATATTATAGGTTAATTATATATCAGGAAATTTTTTAAAGTGTCAATAATACTAATAAGGATGCATCTGGGACCTCTGTCTTTGAGGTGCAAGCTGAGTTCTTCCGAGGAGCTAATAGTGCTTTCTATAATACTGATGCCATGTGAATCTACTACTTATGTCTGTAGACTGACTTGTTTTATTTTTTAGCAGGGCACATTCTACATCTTTGGAATATGCTCTTGATTGGGAGTTGAAAGTATTTGAAATATAGTGATCTTTAGGTATAACTATTCTGTTTATTTTTTCTGCAAAAGGGACTAACCAGAGATGTGTTTTGTCTTTAGGTGGACAGTCATTCAGGAGGACAGAAAAGGCCAGCTGCAAAACAGCTAACTAAAGGAGCTTTGTAAGTTACTCTTGGAAGTGACTGCTTTCAAACATTTCTCTAGGTTCCTAGCCTTCAGCAAATATACACAGAAGTAAGGTTATGAAAATTATATATTGTTCAAATGAATTTTGAAAATCTCTTCCTATAGTTGTTTCCACTAGAACGATAAATATAGCAAATGTAATTTGAGCCTAATGTTTGCTCTTTTGTTCTTGTGGAGAATAGTTCTCTGTGTCTTTAGCATACCACATTCCTTTGGCCTAAAGATCTCTGAGAACTTTTTTTCTTTCTTTTTTTTTTAAGATTTATTTTTATTTATGCATACAAGACCTGGTATGTAGGCCAAAGGTGCGGGGGATGAGAAGATTCACCAGAGACAGAGTGGGGAACAGAACAGGTGGATCTACTGAAACACACTACTGAGGAGAGCAGCGGGTGATACAGGAGAGGTCTGCTGTGCCATGTGGGTTAGCTCCCTGGCCACAGTGGCTGGTGATAGCTTAATAGTGCTGAGACTTTAACCCCTGCACCACCAGGGAGGCCCAGAACTTTTTTAAAAAAAGATTTATTTTATTTATGCATACAAGAACTGGGGTGTAGGCCAGAGGTGCGGAGGGTAAGAGGATTCACCAGAGAGAGTGGGTACAGAAGAGGCAGATCTACTGAAATACACTGCTGAGGGGAGCAGCGGTCAAGACAGGAGAAGTTTGCTGAGCCATGTGGGTCAGCTCCCTGGCCAGGGATTGAACTCATGCCGCAATGGCTGGCAATAGCTTGATAGTGCTGAGACTTTAACCCCTAAACCACCAGGGAGACCCCTCTGAGACCTTTTTGATAAACTCCCTTGTTTAGATCAGAAGTGTTACCCTAAGCTTAGTTGGCCAATGGCCCAGAATTGCCAAGTTCTCTGAGCACCTGTGTGCATATACTTGGTGAGGACACTGCTTCTGGGGTCAGGGTCATAGTTTGAATCCCCTGTGGAAATGGTTAGACCAAACTCTACATCCACCATACTGTGCACCATACTGTGCATACTGAAGAAAAAACAGAACTGCTATCCTATGAATAATAACATTCTTTACATGTCTTACTTTCTTTGCATGCAAGTAACCTCTCTATAATTAGATCTTAATATGGCTTTACATTGACATTGGCACTTTCTCTTTTGAAGCATTCTCCAGCAGTTACAGAGGGACCAAGCCCATGCTGTGACACCAGATAAAAGTCAGTTCCGATCACTAAGTGATGCGGTACAGAGGCTGCTCTCCTACCACGTGTGCCAGGGCTCCATGCCCACTGAGGAGGACTTGAAGAAAGGTAAACAGGCTATAACCCCAACATGCAGTTTTGGCCCCAGACACCCTGCCATGGAGGCCCCACGGAAGATGGTGAGTCATGAAGCCCCCAGATGGTAGCCAGGGTATTGTTTTTAGTTATACACCTGACTTGTTCCCAGTGAACTCAATTTCCTAGTCCATGTTTAGGGTTATAACTTTTTCTTCTCAATGGTTTGTGAAAGGGCACCCCAATGTTAGTGTATTTTATGGACAGATTTGGAGGCAGTGAACCCACAGCATTGTCTAGATTTCTGGCTTCAGATAGGAAGGCTCTAGACTAAGTAGTCCACACAGAGATTGTGGCATACTCTTTGCATTTAGGCAGAATGCATACCCTTAGCTGTTACTACCAGTTTGATCAGTCAGACAGTTACTTTAGCTCCCCAAAGTGAAGCCAGGACATTGCCTTATATTAAGAAATTGGCAAAAAGACCCCTTATCCCACTTTGCAACTCAGCCTATTCTGATGCCTGGCCCCGCTGCCTTTCCCGTTGTGCCACTTAGTTCTACCCCTCCTCCCTGCCCCTACTGCCCAGCCTTGACTCCATCAGACCCCTCCACTGCTTTACTCCTGCCTTAGCAGCCACCAGCCTTGCTCCCCTCACCAGGGTCTCTGATCTCAGTGCAGCTAGACTAGGTCAGTCCTCTTGAGAATTCCAGGGAATGGGGTTCAGATCCAGCATTAAACAGGAAGGGGAAGACTGAGAAGGAAGTAGCAAACGGGAGATGTTTGGAGATCGACAAAGTGCAGAGCCATGGGAGAATCATGACCTGCAAGATGTCCTGTTCTAGTTTGTGTCTCTGTGTTAATACTGGTCTGCCCCATCCAGAGAGGAGGCTTAGGTCATCTGAACTAATAGATCATTCTCTATTCATTGATATTTGTTACTGGTCTGTATTACATGGGGTTTTTTTTATAGGCAATATTAGGTATATTCTGATTTTGGCTTCCTGGCTAAAGTTAAAGTAAGCCGATACTGAAATGAGTTTCCCTGATCAGGTGCAGTGGACAATGAGGGAAAGCAGTGCAGAAGCATGATGTTCCAGGAAAAGTTAAAAAGAGAAAATTGCCCCAGATAAGACACATTCAAATAATGGAATACTTTTTCCTTTGAAAAAATTTTTTGCAAATGGAGTAATTTTCAGTCCCAAGAAACAAAAAACCTAGTGGATGGTTTACACTCTCTTACTATTTTCCCTCTCTCTTTCTTTTTTAAAGTGGACAATGAATTTGAAACAGTTGCCACTCAGCTCCTGAAAAGGACCCAAGCTATGCTTAACAAGTACAGATGCCTGCTGCTGGAAGATGCCATGGTAAAATTACACTACTCAGCACTTTCCTTTCTTAAAACTCCATAGACTGCAGATCCTAATTCAGAGGAAAAGACTTTAAGGAGTTATTTTCACAGCATATTTTAAAGATTTATTTATTTATTTTTATTTATACAAGCACTGGGTATAGTCAGAAGTGCAGGAGGGTGAGAAAATTCACCAGAGCCAGAGCGGGGAGCAGAGCAGGCAGAAGGACCAAAGTACACTGCTGAGAGGAGCAGGGGGCGGCAGGAGAGGTCTGCGCGCCATGTGGGACCCTCCTCCAGTGGCTGGGGAGCAGCCGGGGATCGAACCGGCACTGCAGAGGCTGCGGGCAGCTTCGCAACACAGCGCTCAACCGCTGCGCCACCGGGGAGACCCTCACAGCATATTTTAAAAGACAGGGCTATTTAAGATTGTAGAAAAACTTACATGGACTTTTGCTATGAATCACACAGTACTTTACATGATCAATCACAGTTAATCAGTGCTGTTGTTTTCCTGGTTCCAGATGAGGAAACTGGTTTTGAGCTAAGTAATTCATTCAACGTCATCTAGCTAGTAAGTCTGCAGAGTAACCAGAGAGCTGGGATGCAGGCCAGGAGCCTGTGATACACAGATGCTGTCTGCTGCCTGTTAGCCAGTGGAGGAGAACAGGCCACACCGCCAGTGAAAACTGTTCAGAGGAACATCTGCGAGACGAGGGCAGGACAAATGTGAACATTAGTTTTGTCCTTCTTTTTAATTGAGAGGTCATTCCCTTGCCCTAAATCTCACTTTAATTAAAAAATGTATAATTTAATGGTATTAAGTCATGCAACCATCACCGCTGTCTAATTCTAGAATATTTTCATCACCCCAAATAGAAACTCAAGTTAGTTTAAAGCACCAGTTAATTAGAAAAAGGAGTTAGATATCTCAGGAACTGATGGAAAGACCAAAACCTATTCTGAAGCTTTAGAAGCAGTTCTAAAACCATGTAGGTTTAACCTAAAAATTGGTCTCTTATAAGTAGATGCCAATTTGAAAATGTTCCTTGGGAGATTAGTTGAACTACATTATACACTACATTTTACAGTATAGTATAAGTATGTATGTGTTTGTGTTTCTGTTTACCTAAGAGTGTGTGTGTGTGTGTGTGTATAGTTAAATGTATTTACTTAAAATCAGGTCTTCAAAGTCTGAATTGGTTTGTTCTTATATTGACAACCATTTCTGAAACAAAACTCTTAGATATCAAAAAGACTCATTTGTGAGGAAAGGACCACTTATTTGGCCAAATTATTTCATATCTGCCCTGAATTTTCAAGTTAAAAAAATACTTAGAAATACAGTTTAAGACTTGATTCTGTTCAGAAAAAAAAAATGATTTTAAGGAGAGGCTTCCAAAAAACATAATGAAAGTGTAGCAGAATATAAGGTAAAAGGTCATCCTAATGAAATTATGTTGAATGTTTTATTAAGCTAAGGGGGATATAAGGAAGACTGATATAAGGAAGCTACTGGTAGAGAGCAGTGTACATAGTTGCTGCCATTTATGTGCAAAAACAAAGAAAAAAGAGTATAAATTCCTGTGTGTGCATAATGCATCTCTAAACTGCCAGCCCCTAGGTCCTCCAAGGAGAGACTCTGGGTAGGTGGGGGAGGCAGTGCACAGGGAGGCAAAGAAGGGAGGTTTACTTTTCACAGCTTCTTGAGTAATTTTTCCATTTGTGCCAAGGTGTAAAAATACAGTTTAAAAAAATGCATTCAGTATCATCACAAGGATAAATGAAACTAAATAGGACACGCCAGAACCTGCACACCACATTCTTGTTTTTGATTATTTCATGTGTTCCAAAAATGCAGTAAGATGTTTGCACTAATTAAAAGGAATCTGAGATGACTGAACTCTCATTTTCAGCGGATCAATCCCTCTGCAGAGATGGTGATGATCGACAGGATGTTCAACCAGGAGGAGAGAGCTTCTCTGTCCCGGGACAAGCGTCTAGCACTTGTGGACCCTGGTAAGAAATACCAGAGCAAAGTCAAAGAGGGCTCCTACCACTGTCACCTGCCATGGTTCAAGGCCACAGGCCTTAGGGGTGTCTGTCCGAACCAGACTTTGGGTAGTAAAACCTGAAGGTAGAATATGAATTTGTGGGACAAAAAAAAGAGAAAAAAAACCCAGAATTGAAAACAGTATCTGATCACTCTCTGAAGGTCTATTCTACAAAATCCAAACTGGAATTTTATGTTCAATTAAGGGATTCATTTTTCCCATTGTAAACTTAAGATTCTCAATATTTCTGTGGTCTTAAGAAGCAAATTAAGTTGGAAGCCTTCCCAAAAGTAGTTAAATCTCAGCACATGATTGAGTGTCTTCCTATGTGCAAGGCTTCATTAGAGGGAACAAATCAATAAAACATAGCCCCTACCCACAATCTGCTCATTTTAATGCTCCATTTACATACTTTTCTTTCATCCCATAACTTTTTTTTTTAAGATTTATTTATTTATTTACACAAGCACTGGGTACAGTCAGAAGTGCAGGAGGGTGAGAGAATTCACCAGAGCCAGAGCCGGGAACAGAACAGGCAGACTGACGAAATACACTGCTGAGGGGAGCAGCTGGCAGCAGGAGAGGTCTGCGCGCCATGTGGGACCCTCGCCTGGTGGCTGGGGATCGAACCGGCACTGCAGAGGCTGCGGGCAGCTTTGCAATCCAGCATGCAACCGCTGCGTCACTGGGAGGCCCATCCCATAACTTTCTTGCCAGTTGGATACACATTAGATTTGACCCACATTCTCCCTTTTAAAATGAATTCTTTACTTTTTTCTAGTCTCTAAATTTTCTAAATCAAATAACATAATGTCAATTCATGGTCTTTGGATTTTACTCATACTTTCACATCCTAAACAAGAAATGCTTTTATTGCTCCAAGTTTTCTTCCATGCATCATTTATATATAATTCTAATCATAACATCATATGCTAGATATGTAATTTTGTCTTCTAATTTTCTTCCATTGAGTACATCTGAAGTTTTTATCGTGTTGCTGTAGTCTTCAAAAATTTAACAAATGTTTCATTCACTTACTTGCTAATTTAGCTAATTCATTCCCCTATATATTTAACTATTACTCTCCCATGACTTTACTTTTGTTCCTCAAGTGTCCTTTCTGTTACTTGAGTATTTGTTTGAGGTGCTTAAGAAACTCCCAGAGGGTATATGCTCCTTACACTCGGTCTAAAAGGGAGCGTCTGAAAGAAATGCTCTGTAGGAGAATCCTCAGGTTTCCAAAAAGGAAAACACTAGTGTACAATATATTTCACCCCTTTTTCTTAAGACCCTAGAATCTCCTATTGCCTTTTGGACTTGTGGCTACACCCTTACTTTGTTGCAAGCCCCTCAGACATGAGTGTTATGCAGACAGAGACGTGCTGCATTCCTCTCTGGATTGTGCCCACACCACCAGTATTTGCTGAATGAGATCATCTCTTGAGATTTCAAAGCTGTATCTCCCTAGAGCTTACATTTTGGGATTTGGTGACCAAATTCATGTTTGTGGTGGTATAGATGTCATCAGAATCCTATTTCACTTTCATTACTTCGAGAGTTAACACTTTTTCTGTTCCTTAGCTAATATTTAATTTAAAGTTAGATTTGTATGGAGGTGACGTTGGTTTATAACATACAAACTTCAGGTGTAAAACTTTATAACTGGACATCTCCATGCACTCTATCATGATCACCACCAAAATAGTCTCCATCCATTTTTTTTTTCCCCATTACTTAAGAGTGATCTGCCCTCCTCCCTGGGTCCACGGTCCCCTAAATCATGAGGAACCTTTCTTGCCATCCTTGGCTCTTCAAGTCTGGCACTCCTCAGTGCTTGCTCAGACACGGTGCCTCTGTACCCCGTTCTCCCTGCGTACCCCACTGTCTTTCCAAGTAGATGTCATTGGAGATGCTTGTTGACCATTTTGCGCTTGAAGTTGAGCTCTAAGGAAGAAACCAGGCTGATACTAGCGTCTCATTTCTGTTTTCGGGTTGTTTCAAAGTGATGATCAATTAAAAAAAACTGATTAAAAGTAACTCAAGATGAAAAATAAAAACAAAAAATAGTAAGAACAACTCTTAGAGGTCAAGACAAAGCACCTCTTTGCCCAGTGGGTTTTCCCATTTGTCATCCAGCAGCTGCCTGCTCAAAGAGGTTGACGCTTCATCTAGAAGCTGTGATGCCATAGCCTTGGTTGCCTTTAGAGGATGCCCTCTCAAGGACTCCGCTTCCGCACCCTCCTGGGCACCAAAGACTGACCCAGGCAGGGGCGGGGCTTATACCTGACCCACTGGGGTTCTGTGTGCCCTCCAGACTCTCAGGTTCATTAACCGATGTTCTTTTTGTTCCCGTTTCCAGAGGGTTTTCAGGCTGATTTCTGTTGTTCCATCAAACTTGATAAAGCTGCTCATGAGACACAGTTTGGCAGGAGTGACCAGCCCGGCAGTAAAACAACCAGCTCCCTACATCTGACCGCCAAGGCCCAAAGCAGAGACCGAGCCAAACCAGGCATGACCGAACCAACGAATCATGACCAATTCCATCCAGTGCCTAATCACATCGTGGTCTCCGCGGAAGGAAACATTTCTAAAAAAACAGAATGCCTCGGCAGAGCACCGAAATTTGACAAAGTGGGCTTAGTTCATTACCGGAACGCGTCTGAAGAGAAAACCAGCCGGAGAGACTCCATGAAGGCCAGCGAGTGCTCTCCCGGCCCTGAAGGCCACCGGAAAACCTCGTCCAGACCAGATCACGGTACTGAGAGCAAACTCTCAAGTATCCTAGCCGATTCTCACTTGGAGCTGACGTGTAACAATTCCTTCCAGGACAAAACTCTGAGGAATTCTCCAAAGAATGAAGTTTTACACACAGACATCATGAAAGGGTCGGGCGAGCCCCAGCCTGATCTCCAGCTCACTAAGAGTTTAGAAACGACCTTTAAGAACATCTTAGAACTCAAAAAGGCTGGGCGGCAGCCCCAGAGTGACCCCACGGTTAGTGGCTCTGTCGAGTTAGATTTCCCCAACTTTTCTCCAATGGCTTCGCAGGAAAACTGCCTGGAAAAGTTCATCCCGGACCACAGTGAAGGCGTTGTAGAAACTGACTCCATTTTAGAAGCAGCTGTAAATAGTATCCTAGAGTGTTAATAGCAGCAGTCCTTTCCCCACCCCCACCCCAGCGACCCCACCCGGACAAGTTACATTCTTTCCTGTCAAAAGCAAATGGAATCGTCTCCTGTCTCCAGCCTGCTTGATCTTTCATCACAGGTTATTCTTTCTAATCTCAATCCCATTCTTTGTTTAAGAGCAATACTCGTTCCGTCGTGGTTACAGGGAGCCTTGAGTAAAATTAATTCTTACTAGAAAGCAGTCTGATAGGCCCTACACATTTCAAGTGTTTATGAAAGCGCTTATAGTCATTTCTGTTTGTTTGCTTATTGGTTTCTTTTTCTTTTCTTTTTGCTTTTTTGAAGAACACCGTAACTCAATGAGATCACAGTACGCTTGGCCCTGGGTAAAATTCTGACAATCATAAGTCATGAGAACAGACTTATTACAGAAAATCAAACAGGACTGATAGAAGCAACTCTGTAGAGAACAACCCACTGCATCTCCAAATGGTGGCTTTTGGGTTATTTTTGTTGTTGTTGGAGGAGAGACCAGGTGATTCTCCCTGCTCAACCATCTCTGAACGGTAGTTGCTGGCTGCTCTGCCTGGGACTCCATAGCCCTGGTGAGAGCAGCCCGCAGCGCATAAGCAAGGCATTTGAAGGGCTTCCTGTTCATCCTTCAAGTGCTTTTCCAAGGTTCCCAGAGCAAAACCTCATGCTTTTCAGCCTTTTTGTGTTGAATTTCATCTAGGGAATGCTCAGCTCTTAGTTGCAACAGCACGACTCGAGACAATTCCTGGTGGAATTGGGAAAATGGAAATCAGTTAAGTGGCACAGTGTACAGGGGAGGCCGGGACAGAGCCGTGAGGAATATAATATGTATATATGTAAAAGCATATATATGTTAACTATTGAGAAAAAAATAAGAGTTTTGCATTTTATAATTGGATATAGTCAACATATGATATATATTTTTGTTTGTTGCTGGCTTTTATTTCATTTAAGCTCTCTTTGCACCCTCTCCCACAACAAATAGCCGAGCATCAAAAGCACTTTCATTTGAAAACTGTGTTGCAATTTTTCAGTTTAAACTGTAAGGGACTTTGGCCTTGTTTATGCTTCTTGTTGTCTGAGAACAGTAGTCACCCCCGGCCGCCATCACTACCAAAACACAGACAAACCAAAGTAACCTGCCAGCCCACCACCGAGAGGAGAAATCTGAGACCCAGGATTCCCGCTTGAGAGCGAGCCAAAGGATATGCCCTGTCACGGTCTGTGTTTGGCCTGTGTTCATGCTAGTGAACATGACGTTGCTTTATTTATTTATATTTCTTTTCAGGGAGTTTCACCCAGTCCCCTTTCTTGTATCCCTGTCCCTGGTCACCCCATTTCTGTCGTTACTTTAATTCTCAGTGTCACTGTAACCATCAGTTATCTCTTACCATTGGCAAAGCTACATGACAGTATTTGCTCTGCACTCTCATACACACATGCATGCACGTCCCTGAGCTCTTCAGATCCAGAGGTCATTCCGGTTTCTGTGTATACACATTCACCCTCCCTCGTGTGTGCATGCACACGCTCATTTGTTCTGTTACCCTCTCGCTTTGGAGGTGCACCCCCTGGTCTCCACTCTAACCCCTTGCCAGAATCTGCTTTTGACCATCCCCAGGATGGGGATGACCCTCTTCCCCTTGCCATTATCATCATGTAGGGCATTTCTTTTCCAGATTGGCCTGTGATGGAAAGGAAAGCTTTTGATTATTAGGGAAAAAAAAATAGCAGCAGAAGACCTATACTCTCCCTGCCCCTTGTCCCCACCATGCAAAGAAACCCCACAAGACAGCCAGTCTTAGAAAAGCAAAGGACCTTCTCCCCACCCCACCACCCGCCAATAGAAATTGGAAAATCTGGGCCATTTTAGGGTTACCATTTTTTCCTCATTTGTGCCAATGTCCAAGTTGCAGATTCCCCATTTTTCCTGTATTGTAACATATTAGAAAGATAAGTTGATAGTGCCAGTTGGAACTTTGTTTGGGCAGCCCTGGAATAACACCCTGCCCCAAAACCCATGACTTTATAGCCTCTTCTTCTCTTCGGGTTCATGCCCCCATAAACTCCTAGCAAGATTTAGAGATGGTCCCTCCTGATCAAATTCTTCTCATTGTGGAACTTTATACCTGGAAGCCTTCACGGAGGCTACTAATAAGTTACATTAATTACTGCAAATCAGTGGAATTTTTAAGAGTCAAGATCACTTCATGTAGATCCCTATCCTGCCCTGCTACCCCAATCCTTGCTTTTATATGCCATCTTAAAGGTTTTAAAGCCCAAACACTTGTCTAGGAGGTAGAGAGCCTAATTTACCAAAATGAAACTTGTAAATTTTTGTGCCCTTGTATGTAAGTTTGCTTTTTATGGGGAGATTCTAGATAATGACAAATGAAGATTACGAAATGTATTTTACTCCTGTGATTAGGTTAAGCGCACACGGGTAGGTCATATCTCGCATGTCGAGCCCCCGCGGGTGAAGGGTAAGAGAGCTCGGCCTTGGATGGTCAACATTCAGTTGTTCAGGTCGGTTAGTCAAAGTTAAGTTTACTTGTACACAGTGACAAAAATCATTTTTCTCTTTTGCTTTCTTGGTTGTTGTGGAAAAGCGTGAATTTGTTATTAAGCATTTGATTTTCGGTGTCCTTAACTACTGCAAAAGATAAAGCAAATTTTAAACTGGTGATTACGAAAAAAAAAACTATTTTAGCTCTGAAGAATTTAGTAGACTTTGTTAGATTAGGGAGGCCTTACAGACTGACTCAACTTAAGATGCGTCACTCACTGTCAGTGTGGTGTGGGCTTTATTTGCTTAAAAACCTTCATTTGTATAGTATGTCTTCACTTGAAATTGCTTTGTATACATTTTGTAAAAATATTTATAAAATGTTTTGTAAAAAAAAGTATAACAAATTGCAGTTTATTTTGTTATGTTGGATAAATACTGTTAAAAGAAACCAGTCAGTAACTATATTGTTAATCCATGGTTAGGAAATGTTTAGTTGGAGATTACAAAATGAAACAACCATTGCAATACAGCCAAAGATTTGGGAAAATGTGCAACTGTGATTGTCTTGATTTTGCAACTAGGAAGACTGTAACCTTTTCCCAGAAAAAAAAAGGGTAAGTGTGCAGTGGGAGTTCTACTTAAATATATTCACCCTTGCCAAAAAGCAGCCTACTGGTGGGAGAGTAGGAGTTCTATTGACCAACCTTTCCGAACAGTTACAAATTCCTAAGGTTAGTGAGAAAAGTTTAGTCATGTACCTCTCTGGCCTCCAACTCTACTCCTGTCACATGGGTCCTTAACTGAGGAAGGAAAACTGGGGTCCTTTGAAAAGTTAAGTAAGTGAGCCTCAATCTGCAGAGAGTTTTATTCAGTCTTTATTTTGTTTCTACAACGACGAGGGGAAGAGGTAAAGAGAACTATTTTACATCAGACTTACTCCAGAATTGACATGTTTCTCTTTGGATTCGTACATTTAACCAAATCACACTGAGAAATGCCTCATATTGTTATGTTGGATAAATACTGTTAAAAGAAACCAGTCAGTAACTATATTGTTAATCCATGGTTAGGAAATGTTTAGTTGGAGATTACAAAATGAGATAACCATTGCAATACAGCCAAAGATTTGGGAAAATGTAAACTTATCTATAAAATCAGTTCCATCAGGCCCTTCTGACTTTTTTTTTTTTTTTTTTTTTTTTTTGGTCCTCACAAGTGTAACTCTACCCAAATTGCTAGGGAAACTACCAGAAGATGAAACGTCTCTGGGAGTGGAGATATAGGACTCCTTTGATTTTTTTTTTGTGTGGGGCTTGGGAATTATATTAATATTCCTTACTTGATGGTTTCATAGCTTCTGCCCTGCTCTTAAAGCAGTAGCAGTTGGGAAAACAAGATTCCACAGTAATCAATATGTAAATAGGAAGCTGTTGTTGTCATATAAGTAACAAGTTAGAATAATTACTGCAAGAATAACTGCATCCGTGGATGGGCCCCTCAAGGTGCTGGCAATGTTTCCCTGACATCAAGCTTCTCTCCTTACTGAGATGAGTGAATGTGAGTGTCCAACAGAACATTTTGCCCCTTCAAGCCATTTGCAATGGGAATACCCAATAAATGTGTTAGAAAGAAGGATCACCTGGCTTTTTGGTTAGAGTCAGTCTTTGTGTTCACAGGGACATGCCCAGAGGGTAGATGAGTCATCTTAGTTTGGTTCAAGCTCTCAGCCCAGTGTATGAGAGGCCATATTTCAGGAAAGGAATGAGCCCTCGTATTTCCTGATGAGGAGGTAGCCAGTGGATTTGGCAGGAAAGAAAAGGGAGAAGAAAGGAAGCTCCACAGTCTGGGAACACTGAAGCAGCATCATAATAACTGGCTGGACTTCAGGGAAGGAGATCCTCAAGGCAATTATCTAAGGCCCAGTTAATGATTACATTTATGTGAATAAAACATTCAAATTTATCGATCAACAAAAGAAAAACAGTATTGCTCAGGCAGGGTTCTGGGGACAATGCCCTGGGCCAAGGCTATGACTCTGTGGCTTGTGTGTGCTCTGGGAGAGTTAAAGCTGTTGAGGAACTACCGAAGGTGGGGAATGTTAATCGCCAGACACACACTGAGCAGTTTGCAGGCAGTGTGCTAGACACTAAGCATAGGGATAATTCAAGCATGGCTTCTACTGAAAAATTCAAAAGACAAGCGAGTAAACATGGATGAAAGAACTGTATCACATTTGGGAACTGGAGTTCAGGAGAGAAGAAACTGGGGCTCCAGTTCTTCCAGACCGTCACTTGATAGGGAGCTGCAATGTCTTTCCATGCCCTGGTTCTTAGTAATTTCCTGAGTTATGAGAGAACAAAAAAGTATGATACTTGCTAAGGAAGGAAGGTAAAGGAATTTTGTCGTTTTTAGTAAATGAAAAAGCGGGGTTCAGAACACATGTAAATGTCAGGAGCACATTCATAATATAAGTGGATTCTGTAATATGAATAGCCTGTGTCTACATTGCTGGGGGTAAGAACCCTTCATAAGAAACCCAGATCTATATTCCTCCAAGTGCTAGAGCCTGGCCTTTGAAAACACTTGTAAAAGCAAGAATATTCTTAGGAAAAAAATCATTTCTCGGGGTCTCCCTGGCAGAGCAGGGGTTAAAGACAGCGCTATCAAGCTATTGCTGGCCATTGCAGCATGAGTTCAATCCCCAGCCTGCCAGGAAGCTGACCCATATGGCACAGCAGACCTGTCTCACCCTCTGCTCCCCTCAGCAGTGTATTTAAATGGATTTGTCTGTTCTGCTCCCCACTCTGTCTTTGGTGAATCCTCTCACCTGCCCCGTACCTCTGGCCTATACCCCAGTTCTTATATGCATACGTAAATAAATCTTTAAAAAAAATTATTTCTCTGGCAGTCAAGGAAAGCAGAGGAACAAGGAGGCCAGAAAGTGTCTTTGGCAGCAGAATCTGCAAACAGGTCCCAATACTTCATCTAAGTATCATCAGATACCTTCCTGCAAGTTACTCTCAGTCTTAGCTTCTTTGCCTATAAATTAGGGAGACTTGTCCTGACCCTCCACTCTTAGGCTGTGAGAGGATGTGTTGCTGAAGAAGTGTGGAAGGTAGAAAAAGCAAATGTTCCATTTTCTCTGAAATAATTCAGAAGAGTTTTGGGTTATTTCTGGTTTGCTTCTGGTTTTACCTACAGCATACTGTCTCCTTCCTTCCCTAGTTTTGCTGTGTCCACCCTCATCCCTCAAAATGTTGTGGCATTTTCACCTGTTCTCTCCTTTTTCTTCCCAGTTTTGCTCCTTTATGCTTTTTTTACATCAAGATCCTAAGCACCGTGCATGTTGTCTTCCCCAATTCCAGGCTCTGGATGCTCTCATACTAATAATATTTTTTTTAAGATTTATTTATTCATGCATGCAAGAAGTGGGGTGTAAGCCAGAGGTGCAGGAGATGAGATGATTCACCAGAGACAGAGTGGAGTGCAGAACAGGCAGATCCACTGAAATACACTGCTGAGGAGGGCCTCCCCGATGGCGCAGTGGTTGAGCACTGGGTTGCAAAGCTGCCCGCAGCCTCTGCAGCGCAGGTTCAATCCCCGGCCTCCGGGTGAGGGTCCCACATGGCGCACAGACCTCTCCTGCTGCCGACTGCTCCCTCAGCAGTGTACTTCATCGGTCTGCCTGTTCTGTTCCCCGCTCTGGCTCTGGTGAATTCTCTTACCCGCCCACACTTCTGACTGTACCCAGTGCTTATATAAATAAATAAATGAATAAATAAATCTTTAAAAAAAAAAAAAAAAAAAGAAATACACTGCTGAGGGGAGCAGTGGGCCGGCGAGGCAGGAGAGGTCTGCTGCGCCATGTGGGTCACCTCCCTGGTGGGCCGGGGATCAAACTAGTGCTGCAGTGGCTGGTGATAGTTTGATAGCACTGTCTTTAACACCTGCACCACAAGGGAGGCCCTATACTAACCTCTTTCTACCTGCTTCCTGGTAACTATGTCACTCTCTAAGAAAGCAACAAGGAAAGGTTGAAGCAAAAGAAACTTGCTTGCAAGGATCATCATCCAAAAGATTTGGAGCAGATGGAAAAATAGCAGCTGAAGCCCCCTTTCAGTGAATTAGGTGCGAGGGTTTTGCCTTAATAAGACATTGCTCAATTACCTTTTAAGTGAAAAAAGAGGGTTCCAAATAATCAAAAATACAGACAAGACTGAAATAACTAATTTTGGGATATGTTAGGAAAGGGATCCTGACATCAGAGAAGCACAAAATGTTGTTCCTAAAGGGAGTCTTAACAGATAGTCAAGAGCTTCTTAAAACAGGCAAATCACAGAACTCAGGTTATCTAGAGAGCTCTTGATAAATACATGTGTGGTTAAAAAGTAAGGGCATAACTCAAAATTTAAGTCTTCATCCTAGATCCTACTCCTATTTCCCCCTAATAACCTCCCCATCATTACTTTGTATATCCTTCCAAAAGGGTTATATTGCTATGTACAAATACATCTTTATCTAAAAGTCAAAAACAACTTGGGCCCATTCTCTTATACCCTGTTCTATCTTGATTTTTTGAATACAGTATAGGTGCTTTCCAAATGTCTGCGAGTAGTGTAGTCAGGATTTTTTGATTGTAAGCAATGGAAACCCACCAGCTTAAACAGCATAAAGGAGTTTCCAGAAAGGATACGGATTGAATGCAAGAATGAAGAACCAACTGGCTTGACAAAGACAGGAACAAGGAAAATTCCAGGTCTTTGTAGGTAGAAATCCTTAAAAGTCTTGCCCCAAACCTCCTACATCATTTGGCTCTATTCAAAACCCAGAGGGAAAAAGTTTAGGATCTCATATCCTTCCCACTTAGGAGTAAGAAAAGATCTTCCAAAGACCCCTTCAACTTATATATTGGGAGGGCAAGCATTTAGACTTCATATCCCACACTCTGAAGACTGTACACAATGAGAGACCAGTCCATGAGAGAAGTGGGATACTGTTAGGAAACAGGACTTGTGTGAGCAGACGAGAAAATGGAAACCATCCACCACGAAGATTATAGCACTTGAAGATTGAGCTCACTACATATAACTATGTCTCCCATAATTTATTATTTTTATTATTTTTTTACATTTTGAAAGGACAGGTTTATTAGGAAAGGGTGAAAGAAAAAAGGCATCTGTATAGTCACAAGAGGGCTAGAGAGCTGCTCTTCCATAATTTACTTAACCATTCCCTAATAATGGACAACTGAAGTAGTGAAGAATAAAGATAACAGAGGCCTGTGAGGACAGGTTGGAACATACATATTTTTTGGGCCTCCCCTGGTGGCGCAGCGGTTGAGTGCTGGGTTGTGAGGCTGCCCGCAGCCTCTGCAGCACCAGTTCGATTCCTGGCCACCGGCGAGGGTCCCATAAAATATGTATATATATATTCTTTTTTTAAGATTTATTTATTTATGCATACAAAAGCTGCGGGGGGTGATTCACCAAAGACAGAGTGGAGAGCAGAACAGGAAGACTGACTGAAACACACTGCTGAGGGGAGCAGCGGGTGAGACAGGAGAGGTCTGTGCGCCATGTGGGTAGCTCCCTGGCCGGGGATCAAACCCATGCTGCAGTGGCTGCAGATGGCTTCATAGTGCTGACACTTAACCCCTCCGCCACCAGGGAGGGCCCTAAAAATATTTTTGATGCTATAAATGGTCATGCCATGTTTTCATTCAGTAACTTCCCTTTGAGGAAAAAAAATCTCCTATCTTATCCAGTGCTGGGGCCCAGTCAATGCTCAGTAACATGTATTCAGTTAGTGAATGATTTCTGTTGTAAAAGGACTCCATTTCTTTTTCTCTGCATCTTTCTGGGGGAATGATTATTTTGGTACTGAAAATAAGTACTCTCCTAGCACCACCTGCTGGCATTAGAAATCCTAGCTGCCAGTCTCTTGCAGCCAAGAGATTGCTAATACTCATGAAATTCCTCCTCTGCCTAATACTGTCAGTTCCACAAAAACTACCTTTTACCTGGTATACCGGTAACAATAAATCATTTGTTCCTCGTTTGCTATCTAATGATACTTTGCTGACCCTTCCGTTTTTTGCCTCACAAAGTTAGACACATGAAGAGGTGCTAAGTGAGAGCGAATAAGTATCATATCACAGTCTGACACTGAAGATAGTTATTCTTTGACTTTTATTCATCAGGAAGGAAACCCGGCGTGGCACTATCTTTTTGGTTGGACTAGACAGGTAACATATACCAATATGCTGGCGTAAGTTTAGGTAGTTAACAAGCCCATGTAGGTGCCCATTGTACTAAGTGCCACAGACGATACAGATAAGTGTAACAAGTTCCTTGCCTTGGAAGCACCCAGTCCAATTACAGAAACAGTAAGTCAAGCATTGGCCTAAAACAGGACATCTACTTAACTACTTCTCTATACATACTGTGCTAGATAATCCACAACACTTGGAGATATTTTTGTTTGTCCTAACTGGGGTGGGGCTACTACTGGCATATAGTGGGGGGGAAGCCTGGGATGCTAGCTCCTACAATGCACAGAACAATCCCCGGTAACAATGAATTACCTGTCCCAAAATGTTAATACTGCTGGAAACTGAGAAAGCCTTACTAGTCCCTTAGGATCAAGTCCTGAGTAAAGCTGGCATGACAGCTGCCCTCCTAGTTTCATGGGAGGTAATGTGCTAAAGTAATTCAGAGAAACAAGCTACTCAGTCTTGCTATTCAAAATATACCCATCACTTTGAAGTGTATGAAAAATTCAGAATATTGCTCCCCGCTCTCTCCGGTGAATGCTCTCACCCTCCTATGCCTCTGACCTGTACCCCAGTTCTTGTCTAAAAATAACTCTTTAAAAAAAATTTTTTAATGCAGAATATTGATCCCAACCCCACCCCATTCTTGAATAAAAATCTTGGGGGGCGGGGAGCCCTCAGGTGACTCCCATTTGCTTTAATGTTTGAGACGCTGTGCTCTGGGCTACGGTTTTTCATTGTTTTATGAAGACTGGGCGAGAAGGAAGCATATTCCAGGTGAGAACCACATAGGGGGATCTGAGGTGGCAGAAAGGGATTTCTAGTTTGCAGTCCAGCACGAATAAAAACTGACAATGTTGGGACCTCCCCGGTGGCGCAGCGGTTGAGCGCTGGGTTGCGAAGCTGCCCACGGCCTCCGCGGCGCTGGTTCGATCCCCGGCTGCTCCCCGGCCACCGGAGGAGGGTCCCGCATGGCGCGCAGACCTCTCCTGCGGCCCGCTGCTCCCCTCAGCAGTGTACTTCGGTCCTTCTGCCTGCTCTGCTCCCTGCTCTGGCTCTGGTGAGTTTTCTCACCCTCCCGCGCTTCTGACTGTACCCAGTGCATGTATAAATAAATAAATCTTAAAAAAAAAAAAAAACTGACAATGTTGACTCGTTACTGTTAGACTTTGTGCCAAACGCTTTATGTCGAGTATTTCATAATCCTCGGAACGCAGCTGGGTAGATCCGTTAACATACCCATTTTATGAGTAAAGAAAACCGAAGTACAAAGAGACTAAAGAACTTGCTCAAGGTACCACCGACGAAGCCAGGCAGCGGGATCGAAGCCTCATTCTTTATCATACAAGGCTGTCCACAGTCACCTCCACCCACAAGGGAGAGCCGAGCTCATAGTGCCCGACCCTTTCCCCACGCTCAGACGCCCGGGCCATGCCCGCCTCCCTTCGCAGAAGCGGAGAACGGAAGCCGGAAGAGCCGCGCCAACACGAGACCGGAAGTCCTGGTGCATTGTGGGAAGCGGCTCATTGTTTACGACCAGGCCTCCAGCGATACGAGAATGTAGTCTAAAAGAAAAGGGTTGAATTTGGATTATGACATAGGCCCTAGAAAGCTTGGAATCGGTGCACAGGAATCTCTGTTCCACTTTTTAGCAAGACCTCAGCGGCTCACCGCTGCGCAAGCAGCTCGTGCCGCCCCGCCGTGAGTTAGAAGAGACATCTCTATGGTCGAGTAAACATAGAGCGGTTCCTTTTGCCCCGCGTGGTGACGTTGCGCAGGCGCGATAGCCGCGGCGTTGGAAAGATGGCGGAGCAGGAGTGAGTATTTGGGGGTTTGAATCTGGAGTGGGGATTTGCGTATCCGCTGTCATCCATGGTGTTTGTTCTTCGGTGGCTGAAAATAAGGATGCTTATGGACTGAAGGGAGAGAATAGAAAAGGCTCCAGGCTACGGAGGCTGGCGGCCCGGAACCGCAGGGTGGAGCTGACGGATGGAGGATACCGCGGTCAAGTTTGGGTTAACTCCAGAAGCGAGGATTAATTTTTCAAGCAGGGGGATGGAGAGTGCCAGAGTTGGGTTCACCACCCTAACTTAAGTATTCACCCCAAAGATGAGTCTGCCCCCGCCTTCAATATCACGGGGTTTTACTAGAATCAAGTCGCTGCTGGTGTCATGAAAGACTGGTAGTAAAAGTGCCATTGACGTGTACGAGGAGCGGTGACTTAAAGATTTTAGGGACAATTTAGTATTGAGAAGCGGAGTCGGAAACCACAAGTGTCAGCGAATCTCTTTAAGGAATCTGAGGACTGTAGTGCTGCTTGTAGCTCAGGAAATGGTTTAGAACTCCACTGAACATTTGTTTCCTAAACATTATTTCTGATCTCAATTTTCTGTATCAGGCAAAGAAAAAAGATCCCTTTGGTTCCAGAAAATCTCCTGAAAAAGAGGAAGGCTTATCAGGCCCTCAAAGCCACCCAGGCAAAACAGGCACTTTTGGCAAAGAAAGAGGTAATGATGGGAACAAGGAGGCAGGAATTAGAATTTGTCTTTGGTGAATGTTACCCAGCATGTGTTGAATAGATTTGGTATGGACAGTGCCTTCCACCATCGTTCAGTTACAGCAAGTATATGGGTTGTCTGTTTATATTTTACATATATATTACATGTAATATTGTCAAATGCTTTCTGCCCACAAAATACTAGAGTTTTTTTTTTTTTAAAGATTATATTTTTATTTATGCATACAAGAACTGGGGTACAGGCGAGAGGTGTGGGGTGGGGGACGTGAGAGGAGTCACAAGAGACTGTGGGGAGCAGAAAAGGCAGATTACTGAAATACACAGCAGAGGGGAGCAGCAGGGGAGAGGAGAGGTCTGCTGCCCAGTTGGGAATCAAACTTGTGCGGCAGAGGCTGGCAATATCTTGCTAGCTACCTGAGACTTTTTTTAACCCTTGCTCTACCATGGGGGCCCAAAATCCTAGAGTTTATTAAGAAAAAAGTGGAATGAACACCTTCCATGTTCATACCAAGAGACCGGCATGCCTGTGCACCTGGAAGAGAACTTTTCATTCTGGAAGACAACAAGTTTGCTTATTTAGCAGCTTTTTTTGGTTTGTTTTTAATTACATCATCCTACATTTTTGTACAATATATGATTTCCCTGTGAAATTCCCACCACCAATTCACCCATACACCATCACCATAGTCCCTCTGCTCTTCCCACCTCTCTCCTGATCCTCCCTCCTCCTCCCCTACAGAATGTCTCTCGTCTATGGTTGCCTGTTGATTTTAATTTTTACTTTATTATAGTTACTTTTTTTCCTCTGATCACTTATTTGGTTCCTCTACATTCCTCCTATAAGCGAATTGTTTGGTAGCTTACTATGCCTGATACAAGTTAGGTTCCATAAACACTTGTTGGTAAACATTAGTCACAGCATGTACGCTGTTTTGGGTTTTAGTTTTGGGTTTGTTGATCAGGAAACTTTCCCGGTAATTCCAAGTTTTTCAACTCCACCATTATTTGGGTATCTCGTTTTTCCTTCCATAAGAATGGAGGATGTTTATTTGCTCCCCTTTGCAGAACAGGGGGCAAAGAATCTCTAGTAACTGATGGATTACTGTTACAGAAGTAAAGGTGAATCAAGGTACAAAATGGTGATAATGTCTTGCCTTCTCTGTAGCAGAAGAAAGGAAAAGAATTCAGGTTTAAACGGCTAGAATGGTTCCTACATGATTCCTGGCGGCAACGACGTGACCACGTGCGCCTCAGACGACTGAATGTGAAACCTCATGGCTTGGAAGTACCAGATAAACATTCCTTGGCTTTTGTTGTACGCATTGAAAGGTAGGGAACTTAACCAGATTCTATGAGGCTGGGGTAAACTGTGGGTTCAGCTTTAACATCCCTTTCTAGGGAGTTGAAGAAATAGCAGCCCTTAAGCTACTAAGGCAAGTTGTGCTAGGAATTCAGGGTTGAACACAATGTAGACTTTGTCTAAGGTTGGCGAGACTGACTTTAGGCAAATAAACACAAAGAGGGTAAAGGGAGGGATGCTGGGGGTAAGGTTGCCAAGATTTGGTGTGTAATGGTTGAGGATACTCTCTAAAGCAAAAACTTGAAGCTGAAACCTGCAAACATGAAAGGAGTTGACCTTTGTTGGGGGGCAGGCTTTCCAGACAGAGATGCAAAAAGTCCTGAAGTGGGAGAATCAAGGCATCTCTAGGAACTGAGCTCAGGTCAAGTGGATGGAACATGCTCAGTGCTGGAGAGAGTACACAAAGCTTTTTCCACATTTAGTGTTACTTTCCTTACCCATTCCTCTTGCATGTACAGCTCTGACTCTTCCTTTCTTCCCCATTCAGTTACCCAATCCAGAAACCCATGGATTTTAAATATTTATGAGCCCTCTTCACTAGCCCTTGTATCTCTACCCATAATCTCTTTCCTAGAGCACCACATTAACTCTCAAACTGGGTTTCACTGCCTCTGGTGTCACACACACCAGTGTCCTCTGTGTTCTCAGGGACTGTCAGAAAGAAATCTGATCTTGTCTCCTTTACTTGAAATCTTCCATAACTTTTACTGCCTACAAAAGCAAGTTCAATTCCTGAGCTTGCCATCCACAGCCCCACACACACAAATTTGCAGGGACCATCTCTGTTCCCATAGTGCTTTGCTCACATCAGGCCTTGCTTATATCACATGGAAATGACCTGTTTACATAGCTGTCCCACTCCGCTGAGCTCTGGTAAGGCAAAGTGTGTCCTACCCCGGTCTGTGTCCTATTCCCCGGTCTGTGACCTACTTTCTGGGTGCCCGGTAGTAGCACACGTTTCATAGTTGCTTGTTGGACTGACAGAAACTGAATAGTTTAACTTCCTCTACCATTCTTTTCAGCATTAGGGGGGTGAGTTTACTGGTGAAAAGGACCATTGCTAGACTTCGCCTGAAAAAGATTTTCAGCGGTGTCTTTGTTGAAGTGACTCCTCAAACCATTAAAATGCTTCGTACTGTGGAACCTTATGTGACCTGGGGGTGAGTAAGGTTTTTTGTGTAAATACACATTAGACTGTATCTAAGCATGTTGGGAACATTTGAATGTACCAGAATACTGTTCTTTGAGACTCATGAATATTTTGCTGTGGCTGCAGGTAACAGAAATCAACTGCCAGACTTAGGCAGGGGAGTATGTAGAGCCGGAAATGTCAGCACTGCTGGTAATGGTGTAAGCACTGCCATAGCAGGGCTTGTTCAGTTGTCAGCTAAGACTGAGTGAGATGGAGAGAGGAGAGCTTACTCTTTGGACACTTGAAGCAAAGCTAGAGGCAGTGCTTGTGAAAGAATACTATTCCTGCAAACCTTAAAAACCAACAAAGAATTTCACTTTAATTTCAGAGTTTTACAACACCTTGAGTAGAGGGATCACTAAAGGTCAAATCCTTAAACAATGCTAGTCAGAGTGTATTTTGGTTTTTTTCAATTTTTTCCCCATTCTACATAATAACAAAACATTCTCAGGATCTAACAATAGCAATATACCACCAACAACGTGAGTACTTAGAAATCTTAATGTGTTACATGTAAGCTTCCCTCATTCTTTAGGTTTTTTTTTTTAAAAGATTTATTTATTTATGCATACAAGAACTGGGGTACAGGCCAGAGATGTGGGGGGGGTGAGAGGATTCACCAGAGACAGAGTGGGGAACAGAACAGGCGGATTTGACTGACATACACTGCTGAAGGGAGCAGTGGGCGAGACGAGAGGTCTGCTGCGCCATGTGGGTAGCCCCCTGGCCGGGGATTGAACTCGTGCTGCAGTGGCTGCAGATAGCTTCATAGGTTGTGTCTTAACCCCTTGCGCAACCAGAGAGGCCCCATTCTTTACTTATTTTATCTACATCTTCAGTGGATACAGCCTTTATGTAAGTTCCACATAGAAAATTGTCTCACCATAGGTCTTTATGTTAATTTCTTTTCAGATGTTTCTGGATGTGTAAAACTCAGTTTCCAGTAAACTCCTAAGAAAGGATTTTTAAAAACAATATCCCTTAAGTTTTGCTTGTTTTTAACTGTGTGTGTTGTGTACACACACACACACACATATGGATATTTAATTGATAGCTTTATTAGAGGTTAATGTTTTTTTTAAGATTTATTTATTTATGCATACAAGAGCTAGGGTACAGGCCAGAGGTGTGGGGGGATGAGAGGATTCACCAGAGACAGAGTGGGGTACAGAACAGGGAGACTGACTGAAAAACACTGCTGAGGGTAGCAGCGGGCAAGACAGGAAAGGTCTGCTATGCCCTGTGGGTTGCTCCCTGGCTGGCTGGGGATTGAGCTCATGCTGCAGAGACCACAGATTGCTTCATAGTGCGGTGCTTAACCCCTTGCACCACCAGGGAGGCCCCCTAGAGGTTAATATTTTTGATTTAGGGGAAGCATGTTTTATTTTTGCCTAGGAAATGGGCTTTTTTTTTTTTTTTTCTTATGATTTATTTATTGGACCTCCCTCTTGGCGCAGGGTGTTAAAGCACAGCACTATGAAGCCTCTACAGCACGAGTTCGATCCCCGGCCAGCCAGGGAGCTGCCCACATGGTGCAACAGACCTCTCCTGTCTCACCTGTAGATTCCTTCAGCAGTATTTCAGTGGAACTGCCTGTTCTGCTCCCCACTCTGTCTCTGGTGAATCCTCTCACCACCCCGCGCCTCTGGCCTGTACCCCAGTTCTTGCATGCATGCAAGAATAAATCTTAAAAAAGCCAAAGATTGATTTATTTATGCATACAAAGAGCTGGGGTGTAGAACAGAGGTGCAGGGGGTGAGAGAACTCACCAGAGACAGTGGGGAGCAAAACAGGCGGATCGACTGAAATATACTGCTGAGGGAGGCAGCAGCTGAGACAGGAGAGGTCTGCTGTACCGTGTGGGTCAGCTCCCTGGCCAGGGATCAAACTCGTGCTGCATTGGCTGTGGATACCTTGATAGTGCTGACTTTAACCCCTGTACCACCAGGGAGGCCAAATACAGGTTTTTTTTACCTGGTGAAGATTTATATCTATAAATTTTATTTCTTGTTACATGTTCTGGTCTTTATCTCCTTGTGTATTCCCAAGTATCCCAACTGTAGTGTGTTTGTAGAACACTTGCTGTGAGGTGGAAGGATGGTTAGGATTGAGAGGCCAGTGAATACAGAGTGCCAGGGCTGGCTCAGTTGTGCTTTACTCTGTCTCATATAGATTCCCAAATCTGAAGTCTGTCCGGGAACTCATCTTGAAACGTGGACAAGCCAAGGTTAAGAGTAAGATTATTGCTCTGACAGACAACACACTGATTGAGGAGCATCTGGGTGAGTCTTGAATCAGATACAGAATAATATGTATTTGCACAAAAATGGGTAGTTGGGGCAGAAAGCAAGGCTCTTTAGTGGTCTTTTTTTTTTTAAGATTTGTTTATTTATGCGTATAAGAACTGGGGTGTAAGCCAGAGGTGTAGGGGGGAGGGTGAGAGGATTCATCAGAGACAGTGGGGAACAGAACAGGTGGATCTACTGAAATACACTGCTGAGGGGAGCAGCGGGCGAGACAGGAGAGGTCTGCTGTGCCATGTGGGTCTCTTCCCTGGCCAGTGAGGGAATCGAACTCTTGCTGCAGTAGCTGTCTATAGCTTGATAGCACTGCCTTTAACCCGGGAGGCCCCCTTTAGTGGTCTTTATGGGATCTGGTCATATTCTTCTGGGGGTTTCAAGACCTGCCAGAGTGCCCAGCTCTGGCATATAAGTGCCTCACAGTATACATTGAATAAATGTCAAATAAAGGAATCTCTACTCTTCTGTTTCTTAGGGAAATTTGGTGTCATTTGCTTGGAAGACCTCATTCATGAAATTGCCTTCCCGGGAAAGCATTTCCAGATGATCTCAGGGTTTTTATGCCCTTTCCAACTCTCGGTAGCCCGTCATGCTACCAAGAATAGAGTCGGCTTCCTCAAGGAGATGGGCTTACCTGGCTATCGAGGTGAAAGTATCAATCAGCTCATCCGGCAGCTGAACTAAGTCCAGGTGAGGCAAGGCTGTAAAGCAACCTTGAACTGACTTTTAATGGACCATGCCTTGTTACTTAAAAATTATTTCTGTATTTACCAGTGTAAGAATAACTGTGGGATTAGGGGGAAAGAGAAGGCTGGTATTCATAAGTCTAATGGGTAGTGCCACGCTTGAAATAGTGAATAGCCTATTAGGACATGAAACTAGGTATGTTTATTCTACGAGTTATAAGCTAGTCTCAAATTGGCATTCTCACGGGTAACATAACTTCATATTTCCGTTGAAAAAGTCATTAAAAGTGTTATAGTCAACAAATGGTATACATATAAAGCTATAGGCTAGAAAATGTAACAAAAACGTCTCTATTACTGTAGTCATTCAGCTACAGATGGAGAAAGTAAAACTAAAAACTTAACCAAAAAAGATTTGAGAATCCAAACAAATCTATTTTTTTTTTTTTTTTAAAGATTTTTTATTTATTTATTTATTTATACAAGCACTGGGGCACAGTCAGAAGCGAGGGAGGGTGAGAGAATTCACCAGAGCCAGAGCGGGGAGCAGAGCAGGCAGAAGGACCGAAGTATACTGCTGAGGGGAGCAGCGGGCGGCAGGAGAGGTCTGTACGCCATGTGGGACCCTCCTCAGGTGGCCGGGGAGCAGCCGGGGATCGAACCGGCGCCGCAGAGGCCGCGGGCAGCTTCGCAACCCAGCGCTCAACCGCTGCGCCACCGGGGAAGCCCAACAAATCTATTTTTTAAGGATTAATTTATGCATATAAGAACTGGGGTACAGGCTAGAGGTATGGGGGATGAGAGGATTCACGAGAGACAAGAGTAGGAAACAGAACAGGCGGATTGACTGAAATACACTGCTGAGAGGAGCAGCGGGAGAAACAGGAGAGGTCTGCTGAGCCATGTGGGTAGCTCCCTGGCCAGCCAGGGATCAAACTTGGGCTGCAGAGGCTGAGGATTGCTTCACAGTGCTGTGCTTAACCCCTTGCGCCACCAGGGAGGCCACCAAACCAGTTTATTTTGTTGAAGAAATCAACTATTTGAAAACTGTTTATTTTATTTATGCATACAAGAACTGAGTCTTCAGCCAGAGGTGTGGGGGGTGAGAGGATTCACCAAAGACAGAGTAGGGAGCAGTGGGTGAGACAGGAGGGTCTGCTGCATCATATGGGTTAGCTCCCTGGCAGGGAATTGCGCTCACGCCACAGTGTCTGGCCACAACTTGGTAGCGCTGAGACTCCCTGCGCCACCAGGGCGGCCCCACTTTTTCTATTATTACTCTTAGGGCCAGGTTGCTATAAATTTGTAGTAATGAAGTTGTGTTTTTTCTTTCTCAGTATCTGACAGCACAATGCATTGGAAGCATGTGCTTGGATTTTGGAATTGTCCTTATCTTCAAAGAAGATTATTTCCTGCTTTATCTTCAGAAACGAGGGAAAGGGTCAAGGAGAAGATGTTGATGGTCATTCAGGCTCTTCTCATCAACACCCAGTTCCAAGAAAAAGTTCCTGTGTGTCTTTCATGTTGGCCTCTGCGACCTTCTCTGAAATGAGCAAAGGACTCGTGCCATGGGAGTCCTGCTTCGTCCCAGCCTGTATCTTGGCGGTTAATGTTGGTGAATGAAAACCCAGGCACATGTACGAGAAGGCAGTGGACCAAGCCCAGCGGCGTACCTGAACCTTGGGGTTTCTAGGGTCTTGTTTTGGAAAGGACTTAAATATAACTAGAAGAGAACAAAAACCGTACTCAGTTGCTTCTGCTGTGAGTCTGTGTTCTGACTTTTCAGTGACAGCCGTGAGAACTCCCTAACTTGACTGGTTCTGTTTACCTGGTGGCTCCCTTAGCCCAGACTGCAGCAGCCATCTTGGTTCTTTTCTCTAAGAAAACATGCATTAACTCAGTGTTTGGCTTGGGAGTTAGGATGTTCATGGATCCTTCTCCTTTATGTGACGACATCTTGCACTATCAGGATTGGTTCCCAGGTCCTGACTTTACTAATTTCCTCCGGTTCCTTGTCCTGTGAAAGACCAAAGCATTTACCATGATAGCTTGTTTCATGCCAGTTGTGTTTCCTATTAAGAATACTTGGTGGGTTACTGAGCCCTGCTCATCTACAACTCTGAAGAATGCCCTTTTATTCCAATGACATGGCCAGGGGGTGGGTGACTGGGTTTTCTGGTCACACTGATCTCTTCTCTGCCTAAAACTGAAATCCAGGAAAGAAATGAACCCTTTTCTTGGTTTGGCATAGATGAAATTAGTTCTATTTCATCTTTTAGGGCCTAGGCAGGCAGCTGCATTGGACCCTAGTACTGCCCTTAATCCTGCTGGTGCCAGTGACCAACAGTAGCACTTTGGATATTATAGACCTAAAAAAAAGGGGTCTGGTCCCGCTTGTGTTCAGCAATGTCCGCCCCTACATGGGCCTGCTTTTGCTCCTGCTGTGCAGTCTTTTCAGTTTGTCATCTAAGCAACAGGAGCGAGTGCCAGACCCAGGTTAACGTTTGTGTCCCCAGGTACCTTAAGATCAGCTTTGCTGCAATTTTGGCACACAGGGCCCTCGAACATAACTGTGAGACTGAGTTAAGAGGTATAACAATGCCTTAAAATGTGCCAGGTTATGAGGTAATTAATTAGGTTGGTTGGCTCAAGAGTTAACTTGTCAGGAATAGATGTTACTCTAATACTGTAAAGCGTTGTGAAATTAGATTACTTTAAAATGATGTATCAGAAAGTCATGGGAAAAGAGCTCTTGTGAGTGTGGAAGCCCAGGCTTTATGTCTCAGCTCTCTTACTCTAAATATGGGAAAGTTTCTGCTGTCACCTGTGGAATTTTGGGCTAAGATTATCTCACTTTGGCTGCCTCACATGCTGTTAAAGATTAAGGTGGTGGTTTTGTTTTTTGTTTTTTTTAATATTTATGCATACAAGATCTGGGGTGCAGGCCAGAGGTGTGGGGAGTGAGAGGATTCACCAGAGACAGAGTGGGGAGCAGATCAGGCAGATCTACTGAAATACACTGCTGAGGGGAACAGTGGGTGAGACAGGAGAGGTCTGCTGCACCATGTGGGTTGCGCCCTGGTGGGCGATCAAACGCGTTGTGGCAGTGGCTCTGGATAACTTCATAGGCTGTCTTAACCCCTTGTGCCACTAGGGAGGCCCCCCCAAGAAGATTAAGTTTTTAACTTTGAGTTCTATGTAAACCAGGGTATAAAAGGTAGGCATTTCTGTATAATGTACCATAGTACCATTCCTTCACTAAATTGTGAGACTCATTTATGGGAGAAGCTAGACTATGATATAAAATGTAGGTGAGTGTATGTAACTGTGGGTTCATAAGCCATACGTATTGAATATCTTCCAGGGGTAGGGAAAACAAGTTTGAGGAGGTAAGGAGGGTTTGGGGACCCTATGGGAGACGACTGCCTTAAAATCGTGAATTGGGATTTCAAATTCAAGTATTTACAGCCACCAGAATAAATGACCCAGGAGATAGACCTTCCCTGCATTGCTAAAGGAGTGTCCCCTGTGGGGTACGCCCTCTGAGAGCATCCCAAGCTGGGGAGGGAGGAGGGCTAAAGGGAGAACCACGTTTGTGCATCGCGGATAAAAGCATGAGACTTGGTCCAATCTATACGTACAAAGACATTTATTTTTTTTCTTTTCCACCGACAATAATGGTCAGAAATACTGATACTGAGCAACCCTGATGATGCGAGGAGGCTTAAGTTCACGCGGGCGAAAGCACAGGCGATGAACAGCACGATGGCCGGTGTCCAGGGTCCCGAGTCCAGCGGGCCGCACGGGCCCTCCCGCTGTGGGCTGCGGGCCCGGAGGCTCAGGCGCGCAGTACGGGCCGTTTCGGAAGGCGCGGTCGCTGCTCCGCCGGGCCGGGCTCCTCCAGGCGGGGGCCCCACCCGCGCCCGAGTCTAGGGTCGTGGCGCCGGGGCTCCCGGCGAGCCCGCGGCCTCCCAGGGCTTGGGCTTCCGGGGCAGCTGGGACGCGGTGGGTTCGTCGAGGGTCGCCGCGATGTGGCCCCTCGTCAGGCCCGGGAGCTCCCGGCCCTGCTGGACCAGCTGCACGAGCTGCGCCAGGGTCACCGAGGCCGGCGCCGACCCCGCGGGCGTGGGAGCGAGGCCCGGCGGGCCGGGGCTGCAGGACGGCTCCATCTCGGCCACGAAGCCCGCCCGGCCCGCGCAGAGGCCGAGACTTCCGGGCGGGACGGGTGCAACCACCGTCGGCGGAAATGGAGGGGTGGCTCGGCCATACCAAGCCGGCCCAGAAAGGGGGGCGCGTTTCAGTACCGGGATCAGCTACGCGCAGAAACGCTCCCCACGTGTACAGAATTCCGCTCTTCCCAGCGCCTCGGAAGTGGAATGTGCTTTCAAAGGAACCTGAGTTCTTGCACAGACTGGACCGGGCACGCGGACACGCCGACCGCGGCACAAGCGCCGCTCTACTGTCGGGCACGCGCGGAAGGGCTCGCGCACACGGGCGGGCGAGGGACCCGGGCGGGGGACGATCTCCGTCCCGCTCTCTAGCCGCAGCCCCCGATAGAAATGGCTGTGGAGCGATCTCGGGTGACCTCGGGGGAAGCGGGTGTAAGTGACCCTGCTACAGAGCCTGGGGCGCTCTTCAAGTCCTGCCAGCAAGACCCTGTTCCTGGTGTTAGCAGGGGGGGAGAGGAGTGCTGCAGATGCTCTGGCTGCTGGGAGAGCCGGAGCCAGTAATTCTGCGGGTTCTGAGATTATCAAAAGCTAGCCTGATCGGGCAAACAGCGCTTGGATGGGGTAATCAAAAGTTTAGTTACTATGAATAGGACACACGGCCATGGTGTCTTCGGCTGTGATGCGCTGAGGACACTACAGGTGTAGAAATACCACATCTCTCCTGCAGCCCTCCTGCCAAAGAGGTTCACTCTGGATCTATTTTTCTTCTTTTTTTTTTTTTAAGATTTCTTTTTTTTTTCTTTTTTTTTAAAGATTGATTTATTTATTTATACAAGCACTGGGTACAGTCAGAAGTGCGGGAGGGTGAAAGAATTCCCCAGAGCCAGAGCGGGGAACAGAACAGGCAGACTGACAAAGTACACTGCTGAGGGGAGCAGCGGGCGGCAGGAGAGGTCTGCGCGCCATGAGGGACCCTCGCCAGCAGTCGGGGATCCAACCGGCGCTGCAGAGGCTGTGGGCAGCTTCGCAGCCTGGCTCTCAACCGCTAGAATTGAATTGCAGCACAGCAGTCAGGGTTTTTAACAGAATACAAATGAAGAAAGAACTCATCTTTCTCTCCATGGCCTGTGTCACTTTCTTGGGCACTCTCCCACGGTTCTTCCCCTAAGGATTTGCTTTCTTTTTCAGATGACCTCTCCGTTTCCGAATTGGGGGAGCTCTGGTTTTATGCTCCACCATTGCCTCCTTTCCTACCAGCCAAGTGCAAGATGGAAATATTACTATAAGGTCAAAGCCATTCTTTGGGGCCTCCCTGGTGGCGCAATGGGTTAAGACGCAACCTATGAAGCAATCCACAGCCACTGCAGCATGAGTTCAATCCCTGGCCAAGGAGTTACCCGCCTGCTGCTCCCCTCAGCAGTGTATTTCAGTCAATCTGCCTGTTCTGCTCCCCACTCTGTCTCTGCTGACTCCTCTCACCCCCTACACCTCTGGCCTGTACCCCAGCTCATGTATACATAAATAAATAAATCTTAAAAAAAAAAAAAAAAGCCAACCTTCAGTGTCCCCCGGGGTATAGTAAGGACCAAATTTTCTCAGAATTAAGGGAAATAATGTGTTTGTGTTTGGGAAGCAGGAAGTTGTCTTAGCATCACCATTTTTCCTCTCTCACGTTCTTTCATCTTATCCTCAGCACAACTCCATATGATGGTCAGGACACGACTAGGAATTAAGGGTTGTCAGGAGGGACCTCAGTCCCTTTCCATGGAGAACAATAAAGTGAACCTGTGAAAGGGAGTAACAAGATTGGGCTTCCTGACTCAGCCCAGTGATCTCTGCCTCTCCCAGGCTCCCTTGGGGATGTACAGCAGCCCCCACCCCCGCCCCCTGCCCTGCAGGCAGCCTTGCTAAGCCACATGTGCACAAGGAAACAAAGAGGTAAAGGAAGGACCGTTAGATAAGTCTGCTCGCAGGGGATCCCTAGCCTTTCCCTGATCAAGAGGCCAAGAGGCCATCTCGGCAAGGCCAGTGTCATTCCCAGCTCTAGAAATAGGTCCCAAATCCCCAAGCTCATTTGTGACTCATTAGACATCTTTCATCCATGATTAAAAAAAAAAAATTCTACCTCAACAGAAAATGCCCTTCCCTCTCCGTCATTTATTGAAACCCAATTCACCCTTCAAAGGCTTCTCCTCAATGGACCCAGCCCTTTCATCACTGCCATCAGGACTAATTGACCCTCTTTCTGCACTCCCACAATGCCTTGCTCATCTCACCATGTACGTGTTGTCTCCTACACGAGACCATGTGTCTTCTCATCTAAGATCCCTAGACCAGCCTAGACCAGCACCAGTAGAGACCTGGTACTGGGAAAATGTTAACTAAAGGCCTGATTGAATCTATTGTTATAAACTCAAGGAGAAAAGATTGAACTTGACTCAGCGCAAGGAGAGAGACTGCCACATGCTGTGCACACCCAGTGAGTGGCATACAGACCCCTGTCCTCTAGGGCCTTCTGGCTTTCCCCGGGGGAAAGCCACAGAAGCAAGTGGTTATGATAATAATATGCATGTATAACTTATTACATAAATGATACAAGGCAGAGCTGGTATGGTAACAGCATTCTGTGCCAACTGAAATAAGGAGCCCACACATTCTACTGGTTTTTAAATATATATGATCTAATCAGCACACACGCGTGTGAGCTGCTCTTATGGTCAACTGGTTGGCCTGTAGGGGTGGCCCAAACCTGACGGGGCCAGATGAGCCCAGGTCTTCAACCCACCTTAGCACTTATGCGCTGTAGGACTTCGGAGCAATTTATTTCACTTACCTACATTTCAGATTTCTAATTGTGAAATGAGAGTGATAACAGTGCCTCCTCCCAGGGCTGCCCAAAAGATGAAAGGGGGGCCTCCCCGGTGGCGCAGCGGTTGAGCGCTGGGTTGCAAAGCTGCCCGGGGCCTCTGCAGCGCTGGTTCGATCCCCGACTGCTCCCAGGCCACTGGAGGAGGGTCCCACATGGCGCACAGACCTCTCCTGCCGCCCGCTGCTCCCCTCAGCAGTGTACTTCGGTCCTTCTGCCTGCTCTGCTCCCCGCTCTGGCTCTGGTGAATTCTCTCACCCTCCCGCGCTTCTGACTATACCCAGTGCTTGTATAAATAAATAAATAAATAAATAAAATCTTTAAAAAAAAAAAAAAAGATGAAAGGGGATACAGGTGGCCAGCCAAGGCATTTATTAATCTTAAGGCGTGGCTGGTTGTGCTGGCTCTCTTCTGCTGGCCCTTCCAGGGCCTCTCTCCCCACTCATGCACCACCCACCTGAACTGACACCCACAGACCCTGCAGGCACCTTCCCTCTGGCTTTTGGGTTTGGTCAATGGGAGAGGGAAGCAGCAGAGGGAGAAGGAGAAGGAGTAAGGGTATTTACCCCCTACCTTCCCTCCCCAAGGATCACCTCTGACTTCTGGGTCTGTCCACACAGCTCTCTGGCACTGAGGCCCTGATGTTGCTCCCCTCATCATTCTTTTTTTTTTCTAAAGTTTTATTTATTTATGCATACAAGAACTTGGGTACAGGCCAGAGGTGCAGGGGGTGAGAGGATTCACCAGAGACAGAGTGGGGAGCAGAACAGGTGGATTGCTGAGGGGAGCAGCGGGAGAGACAGGAGCGGTCTGCTGTGCCATGTGTGGGTAGCTCCCTGGCCGGGGATCGAACTCGTGCTGCAGTGGCTGCGGATAGCTTCATAGTGCTGTGACTTAAGGGCTTGTGCCACCAGGGAGGCCCCCCTCATCATCCTTGAGGGCTGTTACTAGTCCCAGGTACGGCATTGTCCTTTTGGATTTCCCTTCATGCTGCCATACTTCTGTAACTAGTCCCTTTATTAAATTCTCCGCAAATAACCCAGTGTGTGTCATCTGTTTCCTGCCCATCCTCACCAGTACAGGAACTGGTTCCAGGAGCCGTGTCAAACCAGCTACTGGGATTGGACTGGTCATTTACAGTGAAAGCCTCCTTGCAGAGCAGATGATGGCCCCAGGTAACTGCACATGGCGGTGTGCAGGGGTATCGCCATTACTTCAATTGTCACCAGGGTGGTGGGATGAAGTGTAAAGCACTGTGGTGTTCCTGTGGAGAGGCAGGAGGGGACATGGCTGTGGCTCCTCTTCACTGTAGCACGGAGTCATTTGGCTTCTTTTTTTTTAAAAGATTTATTTTATGTATGTATACAAGAACTGGGGTACAGGCCAGAGGTACACAGGTGAGAGGATTCACCAGAGAGAGCAGGGAGCAGAATAGGCAGATTGACTGAAATACACTGTTGAGGGGAGCAGCAGGCAAGACAGGAGAGGTCTGCTGTGCCATGTGGGTATCTCCCTGGCCGGGGATTGAACTCATGCTGCAGTGGCTGTGGATAGCTTCATAGTGCTGAGACTTAACCCCTTGCACCACCAAGGAGGACCCTCATTTGGTTTCTGATGCCCACAGGGGACATGTGCAGGGCGAGGAAGACTGGAAGT